TATAGTTAAATTATATATTTCTTTTTTAATATCCATTCATTTGTTATGGATTTGCTTTCAAGATTAGAACACAAAGTTCCTGAAAACTTGACAGTTGAACAATTATGGCATGCAAAACAAATTTTCGACTCAGCTTATCATCCAGTCACCAACGAACTCATGGTTTTGCCAGGAAGAATGAGCTTTCAAGTACCTGGCAATATGCTTTTAACGGGAGCAATGTTGACCTTCTATAAGTTTGTGTACACTTCTCGAGTTAAAAAAAATTGTAATTTAGAATTTGAAATTATTGCAGTCAATGCGTTTTTTGTAATTTTTGATATTACAGCTATCATCATGATAAAAGTTGGGTTGCGTTTCGTGTTTATGCTTTTAAATAATATAATTTTATTCCTAAGTGGCGAATCATATTCATGTCAAGTATGAATGTAATTCAATTAAAAACTTTTATTCTGCACTAAAATTTTTCAAATTCCGTCCTCCAAAAAGCTGGACTTAATATCATTAAATTAAGTCCAGCGACATCTCAAGTAGTTTTTTATTTCCTTTATAAAATTATTAGCATCACTTATGCATATGTCAGGTCTTCGAGCGCTGTAGTATTTTGGCAGTGGATGAATCAGTCGTTTAATGCGATTGTTAATTATACGAATCGCTCCGGTGATAGCGTTTCTACCAGATTGCTTCTTAGTTCATATATCTGTGCAACAGGTGGTGCTGTGACAGCAGCTTTAGGACTTAATTCATTAGTGAAGGTAAGTTTTCATTTTACTATGTAACTAATGAGTTTATTTTATTGAGTACAAAGTGGCCAGTTGATTGTCATTGAATTTAACTTTTCTTGATGATAGTTTTCTGTTAGCATCTTTTTTCTTGAGCACCTGAAATATTTCTGCTTATTGTCAATAGATTGTATCAAAAGTGTTAGCTGAAAAATAATACCTCACTTTTCACTTTTGTGAATATTTTGATTGTAGTCAATGTCACCGTTAATTGGACGTTTCGTCCCATTTTGCGCCGTTGCTGTTGCAAATGCAATTAACATTCCTCTCATGCGTTCCAAGTTTGTCTCTAATATTATTTATTGATCGTGGGATAATGGTATATGAACCGCATTTTGACTTGTAGGAATAAAAGATGAATGGCATTTATGTTGAAGTCCTTTCATTGAATTGGATCGAATTTGCATACCTATGACATTTTAGAAATTTTAGTTTTTTGCAGAGAACTTTTTGATGGCATTGTTATAGTAGATGAAAAAGGTAAAGAAGTTGGTACCAGTAAGAAAGTGGCAGGAATAGCCATTATGAATGTTACGATAAGTCGAATTGCAATGGCTACTCCATCGTTTTGTGAGTAATTTTATGATTTTCACAAATTTTTCAGTTTTGCATTTGTATTTCTCACTCATTTCAAATCAAATCCCTTTTTTTACTTGCAGTGTGCATACCAGTTTTAATGAATAAAATCGTGAAAAAAGCTTGGTACAAGGTAAGGTTTTGATTTATAGATTTTTGTTAGTATATTTTGTCTCTTCATATTTAGAAGCATCGTGCTTACTAAGCATTTTTATGGGCTTCATAATTATGAAAAAGTACTTGGTATGCTATAATTAAGAATGGTTCTAAATTTCAAACAAAAACAGCTTTCAATTGGAAAATGAAATTTCAGAAAAGACCTTGGATATCAGCTCCACTACAAACTGTATTGGCTGGCTTGGTCTTAACATTTGCAACACCACTGTGCTGCGCGATTTTTCCTCAAATGAGCTCCATTGAAACGAGATATTTGGAGCCAGAAGTTCAAGATAAAATTAAAAATCTTGAAGATCCACCTGAACGCGTTTATTATAATAAAGGGTTGTAATGTATTAATGCAATGTTAGCAAAGAAAGGAGGAAATTTCTTCATTGCGTTCTAAACAGCTATCAATCTGCCTTCAAGAAAACTCGACTTCTTCCTTCATTCTACTCTTGACAGTCAAGGTTCTCCGTATTGTATGAGAGCTGTGTTCAGATTCTTAAAGATTGGTGTGCACAAGAAAGTTCATGATAGTAGTAGTGACTCTTAAATAATAAGTTTACTGTGAAATAAAAACGTTCTAAGAAAAGAAAATGCGTACACATAGTGACGAAATGTTGCGTGTCATTCCTATTGAGAAGTGTTTATTTTAATTATGTACAAATTATCCACGGTATACTTTGGTGCTCAAGTTCCGTCTTAGAAATTGTGCACTGTCAGATTTTCACTATCATGATTATGGCATTTCGAATTTTTTTCAGTAATAATTTATTGAACCATGAATGCAGGGACAGATTTTTATCAAGATCGGGAATTTAAATACTGAACAATCCATATTTCTCTTTTTGCTTTGTTTGCTCATTATTCTTCCGCTGATTAATTTCCGCGGCATTTATTATCGCCAGTATGGTGTCGTGATTCGTTCTTACTGGTTTACCTGTCATTAGGAATTGCTGTATTAAGATTTAGTATCAAAAATGTTATAGTAATAATAAGAAACATGGGAAATACACTGTACGGTTTAATGATGTTTCGGAGAGGTGGTTGGAATGACTTTCCTCTTGTTTCGTACTTGGTTTGTCTTGAGAAACTGTTATGGAAACATTTGTCTGGAATAAATAGCCCATAATTATATCATGCGGTGCAGTTATGGCTTTCATGCTATTGAGGTTTTGCAAATTCATAATAAGTTTAGAGAATTCCGGCACTTTAAAAAAAGATAATTACTTTTATTTCTTTAGTTCTTAGGTCGAGTATTTTCTCATAGAAGTCGACTACAGAATTATCCAGCACTATCGTTTCACGTTCTGGATGTAGTAAACTTAAAACAATTTATTAGGAAGGAACTAGATAGTCTTAGCTAGGTGCTAATTAATTTTGTCTTCATCTTTATCTCTCCACAAGTTTTTCCATGTAATCAAGCATCAAAGATGGGAATTACCGATAGAAAATGGCAAATGTAACGAATGGTATAGTAAGCATCATGGTTATAAAGTAATTAGTTATACCGCGCCAAAGACCTTCCTGAAATTTTTTACATCTTGCTAATAACCAAACAAGCCACGAATTATGAAGTTTTCCTCCAAAAATGTATACTCACTATAATGGTAATGACATGTAAAGTAACCGATCCCTGTGGTTTACCACCAATAAAACATTCATATCGTCCATCATCTCGAGAAACAATCAGTGGCCAAATCTGATATCGGTGTATATTTTGTAGTTCTATCATGAGATGCTTAGTCTTGATGTAAAATACAAAAGTTAAACCTTGCATTATTCATAAAGCTCAAAGATCCATCAGAAAATTTAACTCCCTAAATATGCTTGGAATATGAACCTGGAGATATTTTAGTGGCGTGGTCTTAACTCTCCAAGACAAACGGGAATTTGTGACTATCGGTAATCCATCTAAATACCAATCTACATCCTGCTGCAATGTCAAATATATACTGCAAATGAATGAGGAAGGCTCTTCGAGTTGATTCGGGAGAATCATGTCAGCATCGTATGAAGACAAAAATTTCTTCACCTTATGGAATGATGTATCAAGGCTTAGCTATTTCAACTGCGCTAGCTGAGTTGATTTATACGTTTGTATTTTGAGAAGGGATTGAAGTTAATTTACTATTAAGAAAATTGTCTGCTATTGTGGATCCGATGGAATTGATTGCGTAGACAGTGCGAAAAATATCGAAAGAGCAAGAAGTGCCAAATAATGTACCTAATTTATGTATGTTATGTACGTAAGATACGATAAAGTTGTAATGAAAATATGTATTACTTCACCTTCTTAGCTTTTTTCAATTTTTTATCCATTGGACACTCCAATATCAAAAACAATCCTTCTATTAATTCAAAATCAAGATTGACTGCACTTAAGCGAAGATGATGAAATGATTGCTTGCCCAGAAAAACAGCTTTCAGTATGAGCCTTTTCTTCATCGTCCATTCCTTTTTTTTTTCCTTCTGTTTTTGCAATCTCCAAAATGGCTTCTCACCATATAATGTTTTCAACCGACTGCGAAAATTCTTCATTAGTCTGCAAATTCGCAACGAGTTTCGCTAATCGAAACAACGTGATTTAAATGACCTCAGCAGATCTCAACTACGAGCTGCTCAGTAATGTATTAAACTTTGAACTGAAACATTTTTATCTTGTTATGATTGACCGGATAATTATTTTGGAAAACATTAACATTATCCCTGCCCTTTTTTCTGGAAACTGATGTATCTGGTTGGAAGTGATATTCAATTTCAGAAAGTAATACTGGCATTCAAGAACGGCAAAATGAAGCAACACTAAAAAAGTGTAGAGAGTAAAAATAACAGTTGGGATTTGGTTTGTGCTTACAGTGTCTGTTTTTGATACTGCGCACAAAATCAAACTTGGTAGGTTGAGGTGGACATAAGCCTTGAGCAGCACGTTTATCGTACTCAGAAGGATCTAATATTGCACATTCCATCAAATCCAAGCGTCCCAAAAGTTTTGCAGTCATGCGTTTCGAAGGTGAGTGGTAAACAGCTTGCTGTGATTTAGGATGGCAAAGTTTGATGAGTAGCACGGTAAGCAAAAGTTCGTAATAGCCGCTCATTACTCCATTATACCTCGTAATAAATCTTCTCGCCATGATCATTTCAAGAGAATACTCTTGCTTCTGTTTAGAATCTTTTTATTACTGCAGCTCAATTTCTTATCACTGTAACAATAAAAAAATGAAAATTAGTACGGTAAGTGCACAATTTTATTCGGACACACTTTGATGTACAAGGAAACAGCATGTTTGATATTTCCAAATATAGAAGTGTGTATGATAAGGTCGAAATTGTCAATCTACACAATGGGCATTGGTTTCAAATACACATAAAGTGCTAAAATATGGTATAATTGAAATTTCTAATAATGAATCTGAGGTTACGATTGGCAAAACAATAAGATAACGCAATGCAACTGTTTGTTCAATCATTAGAAAATTGGAAAACTCAGAAAAATACCTATAAAGACTACGATACCGATTGTGATTCGTTAAGAATAAATAAATCTCTAACATAGGATAGCAGTTGATAAATGCACATGATAAATCTCTCAATCTATAATACAAAATATGATTCGTTTTGGGTACACTTATATAGAAGGCTCGTATTTCTCCATAATTTGTTATTTTTATTATCTATTTGTTTTTTTTTACGAAGCTGATAATAAATGACCAAAAATTAATTAATGAAATCATCTTCTGATGATAGTAAAATCAAGTTATTGCGGCAAAAAAATGATGCTCCAGATGGGTAGTTGTACATAACAGCAATGGGGAAGAAAATGCAACGAGCAACATTCTACGGTGATAGCCTTCATCTGCTATGCGTTTTGGGTATGGACTCATCGAGGTGTAGGATTAATATGAGATAAACAAAGACGGTGGTTTCCATCAACCTAGAAGTGTGCTGATAAAGAATCATTTACCATTTGCTGATGATCTCATGCTCTTTGCTACTGACGAGGATATCATGCAATCTACAGCCGATCAGAGGTTTCTTGATGTGATAGCACTGGAGTTGAATCAAGACAAGTTAGCTATTAATAATGAAGTAAGCGTTGATAAGGCGGCGCTATTAAAAAGAGCTCAAGGGTATAAATACCTTAAAATAGTGTTAAACAGGACTAGTGCATCTGTCCGTGAAAGCTACGATAAAAGCGAACAAAGATATTTGTAAGAATAGAGAGACTAACCGCACTAAATGACAACAGTTTCATCAAGGCAGTGATTGAACACGCTATAAGTTTAATAAACTATTATATTGGGGTTCTCAAATTGGAACCAGAAGATTTTCAAGCAATCGACCATGATATCAGTCAGTCACTAAGTAGTTGCAGAATCCACAGTCAACTTGCATGTCTAGAAAGATTATAGCTGCTAACATACGAGCTAGGACGTGGACTTCATTGCGTCGAACAAAGAAGTGAGCTTATGCTTCCGCAACTTCATAATGTACTTGTACAAAGTGCGCCCATATCTATGAAGAGAACGGCAACTTTGAAGTAGGAAAAGAGTCACAACACGTTCTCAGCAGTTATCGTGCCTTATCGAAAGACTAGGTAGAGGTTAGCAAAAATCCTACCGTTGAAAACGTATTAGCAGCTCAGAAAGAGTTTTCGTAGAGCGAAATAGAAAAGAAAACCCACCATGCAAAGCTATACAAGATGCGGACGAACAAAATCCCGTCCATAGATGATTCATCAAAATGGCTGCGATACAGAAGTACTACTCCACAGGATGAAGTGCGATACTATTACCTCCAAAACAGAAATATGTTAGGAGGTGAGAAAGGTATGTGCCAACATTGTGAGGAACGTGTGAAGACAGTTGGCCATCTAGCAACACAGTGTGAAAAAATGTTACATCACGACTATACTAGCAGACACAATGACGTCCTCCAATGCATCCACTTGGGGCTCTAGAAGAAGTATGGTCTGAAAGCATTCCCGCAATTGCGAAGCCATCGTGCTCAGGAGGTCGTGGCAAATGAGGACGCTGAGATCAGAGTCGATATGCGAGTGAGAACTGCAATCAGAATAAAAGCAGTTCAACCACATATCATGATACACGGTAAGAAGCAATGTGAAGTAATCCTGACAGAGGTTGGCATCACTAGTTAGGACAAGTTAACAGCAGTCAAATCCGAGGAAAAGAGAAGATATGATTTACTTGCTAATTAGCTTGGGTCAGAGATGAAATTCAGGACAGAAATAATTCCGTAATGACTTGGGATGGAATTGTAAGGAACTTCCACAAACGCTATGCGAAGGAGATTAGTATATCAGACCACGTCGAGGCATACATCCAGTCGATAGTTCTCGAGAAGACGCTTGGTGACATCTCATTCGATGATTGCCATGGATTTCATGAGGATTAAGCAAAAGAAATCAGTACAGTAAATGTAAGCGTAGGACAAGTACAGCCCGAGTGCTGGAATACGAAGCGCCAAAATCAATAACAGATAAAAAATACCTGGTGTGTCTCACATTATCGTGCCTCTTACATGGGTCCAAGGTACTTTTGCTTTACATCTAGATAAACCTTATATATGTGTGTTATCCAACCAGTTTGTATTTACTGTCTTCGCAATTTCCTCATCTTCTTCTAATTAACAGTATTTCTTGTGAAAGTGATACTAGAGACAATGCTGCTCTAATTAAGCAATTCATAAATCTCAAAAGTGATCAAGAAAGTCATAATAACCATCTGCAAAGCTTTCAACTATCATATTGTAACACAATGAACAAAAGCTATGCACGTTCCTTTCATAATTCTCGCCAGAATTTCCTCCTTGTAAGAAATATAAGACTGAAAGCATGGAGATTTATATTTTGCAAGAAATGGAAGGAAAAACAATGAAGAAAAAAATACATGGACGACGCGACCTAACATTGGAAAAATAAAACAGACATTGCATCACTAAACTAAAAGATAGTTTCGCGATATATTTATAACAGCAAGAGGTTATAGAATGGTTAAGAGAGGTTGCAACCCTCTTGCATACTCAGGCGTAAAAGAGTGAGCAAATGATGATCTTGATCTACATGAATGGAAGTAACAAAAAATAGAGAGGCGACAAATAAAATGTCTTTAGTTACAAATCATAAACAACACATCAAATACCAGTCGCAATATTGAAATGACACGTCAAATGCAAATTTTGTACCATGAAAAAATCCATATTTATATGATTCCAAAGATGGACAGAAAACCATAGAAAGTTTGCGTTCTAAATCGTTCAAATCTATGTGAAACATTTATTGAATCAAGCAAATGCTAGAACTCATCTCATACGTGTAACTTACTGAAATATCTCTTTTCTCGGCGTTCCTTCATGAAAAAAATAGCTGAAAGAATGCACTAATTTATGAAAAAACCAAATTAAATAGCAGAGTGTCAGAAGAAAACTAGATAATACAATAATAGAAAATATGAGTAAGATAAAGAGAACTATTTATATGAGGAGAATTATTTTATGCGTCCCAAATTACAGGGAGTTTGATAAAGGAAATCATTCTGATGTTGCAAATAACTGATTCACAACTCTTCAGACTTACAAGCACTGCTACTATCAATAAGTAACGCTAATTCTTGAAAGGTAATCACTAACCTCCATTCCTCAAAAGTTGACTCAGAAGGTTATCATTGCAGCAGAAACGATTGGGATTGAATTTTAATGAAATAAAAAGAATTCTATTATTTCAAGGTACAGTCTTCATGAGAAATGGCTCATTAGATATCAGTAAAAAGCCAAAAATGAAGTCATTTTTAATGCACATAAAAATCTAATCATCTTTCGTGACAAACAAATACCTTTTCCTTTTTAATTCACATAAACGGGAGAACAAAAGCACAAATAGCTCAACAAACTCACTAATTTAGCAGATATTTCATCTCGATGCACAAATCAAAAGCTGAACAAACATCTGCAGTAAAAACTTTAGAATAAAGCCATGAAAACAAACAAATATCGAACAAATAACGAACAGGGTCAGTATTAATTATAACCCTATACCAAATAACAAAAACTGAGACAAAGAGGCAGTTTGCGCCCGCTTTTCTCACCCGGCAATGAAAGCAAAACAGATTTTCAATATATCCGAAGAATTCGAAAGCACATAATTCTTCATAAAATCAAACAGTTACTAATCTTGAAAATTATTCACTTTTTAAATGTTAAACTGAGAAATGATGAAATTTGTTTCAAAATAGAATAATAATGATATAGAATGCAGCACCTCTGTGAGAAATGAATCATTTCGGACAGTCTCAAATCCAATAAATTTCTATGTTAATTTCGAAATAAATGTGATGCTAGTAATAGAACTCTTAAAAACAAAACAAATTAAAATGAAATGAGCAGAGATTTAAAAAAAAAAGTAGTTATCAAGGAACCAGTGTAATTTAAGGCTTCAACTCTTACATACATTGTTCAGCCAATTCATAATATTTAATAGCCAATTTGCCCTGCATAGCTTCCGTTGCCGATACAGCCGCCTTCGTATACAAATCATATGCTTTTTTTAGATCCTGCATCAAACCATATCCACCTATAGTAATAAGTGAAGTTTGTTACTACAATACTGAGATTAAATTCGAACTTGAACCATTTTGAAAGCTATAAATAACTGTTTAAATGAACAACACATTTTTTTTAAAACTAATTATTACGACATAGATTTGTATAAATTTGCATACCATCCTTATACAGCATTGCCATTCGTTCAAGTAACTCATAAGATGGACGAACACCTTCATGAGGCGTTTCATTCTCATTTGTTCCTGAACTTTCAAGAAAACTTAAGGCTTTTTCATACCATATGATAGCTTTGGGCCAAGATGGTTTCCTAAAACTCTTATTGAAGTATTTAGATATTTTTCCAGCACCTGAAAGTTTGCTGACAATAGTGATAAAGAAACAAATCTTAATAATGCGCGCAAGGACCAGAGAAAAATATTGAAAAATATCAAAACTTCATTCAATAAATAAATTTTAAAAGCAAACTTCAGTGGTCCCAGATAGCAGCCCGTTTCATATGCTTCTGCCACAAAAACGACAGCAGACTGATCACCCATATTCGCAGCACATTCCATAAGTTCAAAACCAGTTCCTTCCAAGTCAATGACATCCCAAATTTCCTTGCACGTTACATCCTTCAGCAACTCATGCGGTAAACCTACATTCATTCAATTTAATTTAATAACAACAAATAATTCAGCAATAAAGAAACAAACCGAAAGCTATTTTCGCCATCGTAATAACTGCTTCCAAAATACCGCAACGGCAAGCGATTTTAAGATGATAAACAGCTGAATTCCTATCATAATTAGGAAAACGTCCTGAAAGCAATTCAGATTTTATATAGTACTATTGCAAGACAGACATATTATTAATATTTGCACATTTTCGATCCGCCAGTCATTTTTTCGCTAGCAGCAAAATAACATACGTATTTAAGGACTCAAAAAATGCACCAGAAATTCTATTCTCCAATTTTTTTGTTGAACAGATATTTTCTTTTTCGGATAAAACAGCAGCAGTTTTTTGTACAAATCGTCCCAGTTCATGATAACGTGCAAGATCCAAGTGTATCTCAATTATTACAATACTAACAACCAGAAGAATCATCTTACATTGTGAACAGCTTTAATGGTAACTTTCCACAACGATAAATCGATCCGTGAAAAGGTAAGCCAATAATTTTATGAATAAATAGATTCTCTTTCTAATCTTACTATACAAACTATTAATGGAAAAATTTTTCAGTACTTTCTTAGTAACAGAAATAAGATTTTACTTCAGATATAAAAATAAAATACATAGTCCACAAATTCACCTGACCAAGGATAGAATTTGGTGTAACAAAAATTTTTTGTGTGAAATGATGTTCTTTAATTTTAGATATCGAAGATAGCCCAGCTGGACGCGAAAATTTGCGCTTCTCAAGCCAATAGGCTTCGTTTTCTGTCTCCTAACCAATAAATGATAGAAATTAAAATAACATTCATTATTTCACTTCTCATTCCACAACTTCATTCTGCAATTTCACTTCGAGAAAAGCTTCTGATAATATAAAGTGAGAAACTTTTAGACGAAAATATTAAGAGTGAAAAAAATATAAAGATTACTCGTGTCATCCTTGAACTACAACTGCTCATACTACTAAACTGAGCTTCATGATGTAATCGCTCGCTTACCTGAAACCACACCCTTTCATTAAAATCGAAAAACAAAGCAAATAAATTTTTCAATTCGAGATCTTAATTCTTGATACACTCTAAACCATAAAACAAATGCTTTACAAACTGTAACTGTAGGAATAATAGTTTCTTGCTGTTATTCCTACAACTACAGTTTGTAAAGCATCTTCTAATTCAAGCAAAACTGGAGAATTTTCGTTTGTTTTGGTTGTGACTTCATCCAGTTCGCACAAAACAGATTCAAAATAATCGTTATGCGGTGGCATTTCGTGATTTTGCATATCACTGGCATAATCGTCACAAAAAGAGCATGCTGAAAAGTAACAATCGATAACTTTCGTTAAATGATACTTTTGATTGATATAGATTCATTAGCATAAAATTTTGCAGTTGAAACGCTGCTGAAATATAGTCAACTTCATATTGATACAAAAATATCAACAAGCCCAATATAATATTAAATGCAAGAACTGTAAATCATCAGTATCATTCCTATAATTCAATTCGGTTTTTAATGGATGAAAATTGAAACTAAAAAGAAAAAAAGTAGCAAGCTACACACCAACATAAACTCAATTTAAGTCCAAATAACTGTGGTGTTACGAAAAAATAAAAACAGTTATGATTTAAGCAGTGGCTAGATTAAAATTTAAAGATATATTTACTTGAAGAACGTCTTCCTGAGCTATTCACTGATACTGTCCTACGACGCAGTTTCTCCATAGCATTACCTGTTTCCTCTACAAGAGATGAACAGATGCTTGCTGGTCTATTATTACTACTTTTAGTCACAGATGTCCAATTCTGAAGTTTAAAAATCCGACTGCACACTGATTCTTCAAATTAGGCAGTAGTGAAGGAGAATTCACATCTTTTGCTCTATCAGATTATAAATATGCTAAAAATGAATGGCAACCCATACTTCTTTGAAGTATGCTCCATAATTTTTTCCTCTTCAACTAGATTTCCCAAAGGCCTCATTTATTATTTGATATAGTCACAATAACACTTTAACAACCTTTTCAGCATTACCACCTTCTTCAAGCACATTTCGCTCGCTCATGGAGAGATCGAACTCTGTCAAACCCATCGATCGGCAAATATCATTGCAGAAATGAGAATGAAAAAATAGCGCCATTCCTTTCGTACCAAGATTTCCATTTCCATAACCTTCTCCTGCTGCCTGAATCATTCACATTTTATACCATGTGTAGAATGATGTCATAAATAACTAAGTAACTGAAAAAAAAAAAGAGAAACTCCATTTATCAGTTATTATTCCTTGAAATAAACTTCCACGTAATAGAAATAAAAGCAAAAAAGTTCGTAATAGTTTTCCAAATGATTGTAGCTCTTTTATATACTGCATATTTTGAGAACGTGAAATTTTAAAAATGAGAGACAATGATTTCATAAATGTTAGCTAGTACAAAAGACAAACTGTATGAATTTGAGGGTCCGTGTATAAATCCCCAACTCCTTGAATATCGACAACAATCAACTGGTGTCCACTGCGTTCAAACGTAAAATGACTAAAGGCCTAAATTACCAGAACCTTCTGAAGTGCTTAAAACTCACTCTTGAACAATTTCACCAAATAATAAACCCAGTTTAAAATCAAATAATGAGATTATAAAGTCAGAAACCAATTACTTGTGGTGTTTTTCGACAAATATCTGAAACGAAGCCAGAATTTGAATTATATTTGATGTATTCGCCTTCTATGAAACGCTCCAGATGATAAAACTGATGTGCATCCTCATTCACGAATTCTAAGATGCATACTTGAAATATATCGACCTAAATGAACTTAACAATTTAATAATTTTACCAAATTCTGCTAAAAATAATCATCAATTCCAAGAATATTGAGTACAAAATATCTACATGCATCGATTACAAACAGAAATATTAAATTAACGTACTTTCTTAGGTGGGTTGTGTCGATTGTATTCCTCAGCCCAGAGTTTACTATCCATTTGCATCTTCACATCTTCAAAAAGCACCTGGAATGATTTGGAATCACAGAATCATTTAAAATTGAATACATATTAGTATATCGCTCACTTTCAGCTTAAATTTCCTAACAAGCTTATTGAGAATGTTAATTAATATATCAATTTTAATATTAATACTACTATACCTAAACGAATAGAGAGGTAATTTTGAGCAGTGATGTAAAAATGTAATATCACTATTTTTTTATCAGGTTTTCAGTTTTTTGCGAAATATCTGGATAAAATGATAAACCTCTTTATTAACGCTGGTTATGTATTTTTTAGCGACAAAATTTTGCGCATGAGCCCAATCATCGTTTCTACTGAATGATCCAAGCTTTTTCAAACGATAACATTCACGCATTGCACCGCGAGCAAATGGCTTAAAACAAAATATACCGCATCAATAATAATTTTTAAAACCAAGAAAATACATAAAAATGCTTAATAACTATGACTTTTAAATAAACTTTTAATGATCAAGTCATCAATGAAACTATTAAAAATGCTCAAGAAAAATAAAAAATTAAGATTGCCAACCTCCGGATGCAGCTTTACTTTAACATTATCGGTTGTCCAACACTGATGTATGGAAGAATAACGGTGTCGTTTACAATTTTTCAGGGGCAGTTTATCGAAACGAAACGCTGCCCATGGATCATTTAAATGTTTCACACACCTAATATAATCACGTGCAAGACGTTCACTCATTAAAATTTCATTGAAGATAGAAATGGCACAATGAACAGTAGAAATGCGGAGCTAATTAATTTCAAAACCCTGACTCCAATAATGCATTATGTACTAAAAACTTATATATAAATGAAATTTCAACCATGCTGCAACTTGCTGCCAACGATGCACCAGTTCTCGCTTTCCTTCGTCCGATGAATGTGATGAATTAATTTTGAGAGTCCGGCAATCTTCGCAATTCAGAAAATTTGATCGACACTGTCTTTGTTCTGCAGCGTCCTAAAATTATCAGGATGAAAAATTTATATTCTAAAAGTAGATAAGATACATCTGATTCTTACAAAACTGCTACATAACGGCTCCAGAAACTGCCATTCCGTTGAATCATCAAAACTGTCTTGTTCACCATTCCTCTGCAATTATATCAAAGTCGCACAGTTTAATTCCATGAAATTCGAGTTCAAATTTACCACAAATGTTCAATGGATCACACAATGAACTTTGGTGATTTCATCAAAATAAACCTTCAAAGTAGGCGCTCAGACTAAACTGACTAACAACACTAGAGATATAACAAACAATGAAGTAATAGTCTCAAATATAAAAAATTCCTACAATAATCTTGAAAAAAAAATCAAGGCTAGAAACCTCGAGTATATCAGCTTCTGGAGCAAGACTAATATGTTCGATAACTTCTTGGATAGAATCCATAAAAATATACTTAGTGAACCAAAAGATCCAACTTTCTTTGCATGATCTAAAAACATGGCACTCAAAGTTAAAGTTACTTATCGATGGAAATGTGATGCTAAAGTCCCAGAATTCTTCAATAATCTCTGAACTTACGACAAAAATGAAATTGTCTGTGATGCAAGTAGAGAAATTCAATCAGCACAGTTTGGACGTGATTACTGATTTATCTGAAAATTAGTTAGTTAGATAATGCAATAAAAGATAACAACCACATCACAACATGAGTGAGCAGTAATCATATGGTTATTCGGCCCTATCACCACAAATCAGCCAGATAATCATCCAAAAGTTTTCGATAAAAGCGTTCAAACCTTGAAATTTACCAAAACTCCATGGAAAGCTCAGTAAAACAAGCACTCCCAATTTAATCATTTTCAAACGATAACATTCACGCATTGCACCGCGAGCAAATGGCTTGAAACAAAATATATCGCATCAATAACTTTTGAAACTAAAAAAATAAAAAAAATAAAGAAAACACACCGTAATGTAATGCCTAATTATGACTTTTAAGTAATGCCTAATTATGACTTTTAAATGAACGTTTAATGATCAAGTCATCAATGAAACTATCAAAAATACTCAAAAGGAATAAAGAATTAAAATTGCCTAATGCAGATATTTGTTTTTAGGAATGTCAACTCCGCAACTACGACAAAGAATCCGCAATTTCTCTTCAAGCCACAGACTAATCTAGTATCAAAAAAGCAAATCAAATAGCCTGAATTTAAACATCCCAAGGAGTACACTTTCCTGTTTCAGTTATCCCTTCCAACATTGGTGGATCCCCTATTAGCCGCAAAACTAAAACTCTTGATGAACAATAAGCAAGACACGATCCCCACGATAAATTACCAAAAACATATAACATAAATCTGCATATGCCTTAACTAATGTAAAAAAACAAATTCTAGCCTTCCATTACACTTAAGAATTTGGAAAACAAAATCAAAAGCCCTACACCATAACACGCATATTTTGACGAAATACTTCAGGATGAGATGGAACCTTCAGATGCCCCATTATTCTGGAAACACCATCAACAAAAAACGCAGTGACTACCTACTGGAACTCCTGTCCAAAAAATAAGAACTCTCCCTGAAGTCATCCAGACGCACCTTATGACTAAATATTTCAGATCATCACAATGCGTATATTCCAAAAACTTTCACCACAAAAAAATCAGAAATATCCTTTTGATCTAACTGCAGATAAAAATCAAGTCAAAGCAACATCTCACGTGATTAAAGACAGAGCTTAGAGGAAATACATCTCAGTATCTTCAGAATCAAAAATTTTAATTAGTGAAGTGTTTTATAGCATTAGCAGAATAATCATCAATTCATTATCTCAGAAATTTTGCACAGAATTATGAGTGAGCAAAGAGATCCACCATGAGAGTGATGAGGAATATTTTAATACTTCTATAAACACAAATATCGTTATAATCAACTTGTACTACTAACAGTGAAAAAAATCCCGTTATGATTGTCACATACTGATGAGGAGTATTTCAATATTTATATAAACATAAATACCATTATGATCAACTTGTACTAATTATACAGTGAAAAAAACCCCGTTATGACTGTCACATACTGAATAAGACACTGGTTTAGAGATACAGTGCTTCAGACTTTACAACTTCCTCCTGTACAAACCGTATATTTCTGTGAGTTATATTAGATTAAAAGTGACCTATTTAAATCACATGCATTCAGAAAGCCAACGATCTAAATTGAGATTTCATGAAATACAACAAACTTTTTTACACCGATATTTAATGCAAAGTACCTGAAATGCATAACGCTATGCTACTAGGGAATTTCTTTCGTATCTTAAGCTTTGTTTGATTCTTGAAAACAAAAAAGATATTCTATTGAAAAAGTTTCATATACAATTGCGTTATTTGAATTAAACAAAAATTAACGAAAGCTAATTTTGGTTATGACCAAGTTTCTATCAATAATTAACATTTTGAATTCAATAATTCCTGGAAAAAGTACGATAATCAAAACACATCACAAATTCCTGTAAAGAAGAAATCCCGCCAAAGCAGCTATGGCGGCACCAACAGTAATCGTGGACAACAAATAAGAATCTTGAATATGATATACTCGCTTCAAATGCCTGAAAATATGTCATTAGAGAAAAATATGATTATCTCTTGCAAACAACTCAATCAAAACTTAGTGAATCAAATTAGTGAAAAACGTCCTTGCCACAAATGTAATGAGCCATAATAATTTGAAGATAAAATCCAATGATTACTATTAGCAAAGATTTACTGAGATAAGAAGATATTAAAGATATGCATAAATTATATTTCTTGTTCCTAGAGTTAAGCAATCAAAAGATGTGCTTATGCATTCAATTCAATACTGTTAACGAACGGATAAACGGCCATTATTGCAAGCTGCAAAAAAATTGGATTATCTGTTTTCCCAATATCTTCCAGTCGAAAGCGAAGTGGTTGAGGTAATGAGTGTGTACGACAAAACTCTTTCGGTTGTTGTTCATAGTTTTGTTCAACTTCACATAATTCCGACTTTGTGGCTACAATAACGCATGGCACTTTGGTACGATAAAAATACTTCTGAAATTACTGAATATGAGATATCTCAAAGGAAGTGACCAGCTAAAAACATGGAATTTGTATTCTTAAAAGCTTGATATGTTATCGCAAAAACATAATAATTTTACACCATCAAAGACGAATATGCACCAAAGCTTAAAATCTAAATCTCACCAGTAAAGCTTAAAATCTAAATCTCACCATATACATTGAAGCACAATATGCAAAAGAATTGGTATCAGAACTATCATATAAAAGAACAATAACATCTGCACTTTTTTCATAAGCTGTGAGAGCTTCGTCAGGTGAAAGTACATCAACTTCATGAAGCTGCAAAAAATATGACTCCTGACTATACACAGGGAAGAATATTTTCCAAAAAAAAATTCAGCTAAAAATTTGGATACTTGACTTCACTGAAATTTCAATCAGAAGAAATAGGTGAAAAAAAAGTATCTTAGAAAGATGATAAGAGAAAAAAATGACACAAGTTACATGAAGCGTTGTTTTTTTTCTAACTGTTTCAAATTTAAAGTTGACACATACCAAACTATATGAGTGCAAAACATTTCCGAACTTTTGTTCAGAGAAAGATATAGCAATAGTCTCTTACCATAAGATATTTTATACTCTGCTTCACCTCTACCCTGTTCAAAACATAAGGTGAAATCGACCTTTTGCCCAACACCGCTATGTCCTATAATAACACTTCTTGCACAAATTAAAGCTCAAACTCAGATAAGGAAGAAAGTATAAAGAATTATGTAAGAAACATTGTTACCTAACTTCTAGTAGTACGATTACTAACCATTCGAGAGCAGTACTTGACTGTGTTACATATAAAATACTTTCTTAAAGAAGCGAGTTTTACAAATGTTTAACTTTACTTTCTTCTAATATATCGAAATAACTGCTGCAGTATATCTCGAATAAAAATCACTTCACAATTTAAAAATATGACAAACCATAAGATTACGACCCACAAAAGATTGCAAGAACATCGTTTTACCAGCACCCTTTGGTCCTATAACATGGCACTGAAATACTGTTCTGGTGGTAGATTTTTCAGTGATATCTATTCGCCTGTCTCGTGTTACCTGAAATAACAACTAGATCTTCCCATAAATCGTTTTCCGAAAATCTTTCGAGAATTTAAACACAAAAATCTAACAACCCAACCCTAATAGCATCCAACTGAGACTCATGATGCATATTGAAACCTAGATATGCCAACAATTCCATCGTCAAAGAAACATTCAAGAACGTCGTCAATCTATAAAAATTCAAAGTATTTCAGTTAGCTTTTATCAATAACTTGAAAAACTTCAGCAAATTCTATTTTGAAAAAATGCCTCGTCTAAGGAGTACTGAAAATTACATCCAATAAGACAAATATCCATTGTAAGTCAGCCATCCTTTAGAATTTGTTTCTACTGCAGAATATGCTTCTTTAGTCCATACATGTGATGAACAAACGCTGAACAAATTTTGAAGTTCCGATGGAGATAAACAATCATCTTTATCCTCAAATAAATTGTTAAATTAAAGCACTGTTCATTATGTTAATTACTACAGAAGTCAGTGATTCGCCAAAATCTACACTGTATTTAAGTTAAGATCTCCGACAAGCCACCAATTCATCACTATGCCTTGTATTGAATATTGAGTTATATTTACAACATTTATTCAATACAAATTATCTATTTTACATTATGAAACTTAAAGATTTAATGAAAATTCTACGATATATTTACCTATTTTTCAAGTAATCCATATGAATTATCTGGTAAGTAAATTTTATTCACACTAACATGATTTAATTCTTTCTTTTACCTCCGAAATTTTCAATAAACAGACCGTCAAAATTTTTGTGACAAGAATTTTATCATATTCAAAATCCTTTATGTGGTAAAAAATTCTTAAGAACAAATAATACATATGAACAACACACCTCATCAAATTTTTGAAATAGAGCAGAGATAAACTGCAAACCCTTCTGAGTCAATTCAGTAGAGCAACCTTTCGGTACTTTCAGACTGAAAATATTTCATGATTGTAACAAACTAATTTGACTAATTATTGAAAGATTTCAATCCTTAAGGTTAATTAATTGTTATAACAACAACAAACGGAGGTTGGATGTAATCTGTTGCAAGTTCTAAGTCGTTGTCATATCCAAATTTTCGCAATACTCTCCATGTTGTTTCATGTCGTCCACGATGAATAAAAAGCTGGTGGAGGTAGATGAAACCTAAAAATATAAGTTGTTGAAAGTTTGAATTTAGCTGAAGCAGGAAAAATAGTAGAAACACACAATGACACAAAACAAACTGACCAGGAAGAGTAATGGCACTATCAATAACACCATCCTTCAGATTTGACCTTACAGCAGATTTCACATCCTGAAAAGTATAGTATAGCAGATTTTAAATATACAGAAACAAAGTTAATTTCATAATGGATAGCAGATTTTTGATGAAAAATAATTTGTTTACTATTTTAACTTTCAAAAATGACAAGTATTAAAATAAATATGAAAAACATAACTTAATATATGAGCCAAAATTAACTGTCATTAAAAGAAACATGATACAACGTTATGAACAGTGGAAGATCCATATTGCCCCATATAACTTACTGATATTGCAACTGCTGTAAGCGGAATCCCAAAGACAAATAATTGAAATCGATTCAATTCTACGTCACTGAGAAGGCCATCGTTATCAAAATCACACAGCTCAAAAAAGTAATCATTAAATTTCTAAAATGACTCACAGCTTTTAAAAAACAAAACTGCTCAGAAAATGTGAAATTAACTGAAGCTAAAAAATCAAATGAGATAAAAAGGTGTAGGTATCAAACTTACTTTGAAAATACGTATCAATGCTTTCTTGCATTTCCTAGTTAGTTCTCTGTCTTCTGATATATATAACTGATGGATAGGATAAATTACGGCTTTCTGAGCGTAATAAAATATTTCGCTTATGTTTTTCATTGTTTTCGCTGAACATTCCACACATGTTTCTATTTCGCTGTATTCATTCATAATGGAAAGTACCTGTAAAAATCTTAGTATATTCTGCAGCTATAAATAAATGAAGATGACGTCTATGCTGGAAATGAAAAAAGCATTCAGTACCTGATTCATATGCTTTGATGGCACAGTTTCATCGGATTTATTTCCAACAAAAATTAGAGGACAACACTCCTTTTCATCCTTTTTAACTTCCTTAATTAACGGCAACCATTTATTTGTAGCCTTAAATTGAATGAAAGAAAGTTTAGAACATTTAAACTACACTTGAAATAAATGTAAATGAAATATTCTGACTGTTAACTCGTCAATATAAAAATGAATTCACTAAAAAATTGCATATCTTTAAATAAAACGCATTATTACATAAAGTAACTTTAATAGTAATAAAATTATAAACCACTTCATCAATAGAATGTTGATTGTCAACAGCATAAACAACACACACAACATTCGCCCACTTTATCTCTCGTCGTAGTTCTTCGTCACTTTGCTTCTTTGCTATAATATACGGTGCTTTTTCGAACAGTTAAAATATTAAATACAGAAAAAGCAAAGATGCACTTTATTCTTGCTTAATAAAAGATAGATGAGTCTTGAAGTAATATCATTCTATGCTCTCTCACAATTAATCATTGAATTTAGCGCTGTAATGAAACAAAAGAAAGATTACGAACCAAAGTGACGGTAAACATTAACAGCTACACAAAACAAACGAAAACTAACCACAGTAATCATGAATTGATGTTATTACGCCCTCAGGTGTTATATCAGAAGGAATTATTATGTTATCGATTCGAGGAGGTACTTTAACACAAAATGCATCTTGAAGCAATGACATTATGAGCGATGATTTGCCAACACCAGCTAGAAATCAATCATTCTTTATCATGGAATAAAAATAATATAACTTAGCAAGTAGTATGTTTTTCTTTAAGTTTTGTTTTAAGATGATGATAAAATTCTTCATTTAGTCACAAAAGTTTCATATAATTTTTGGGGATTTACCCCTCATTATCAGTGAATTATTCGCATGAACGAACACCAGTTGTTTACTATAAAATGGGAAACTGCAGTTCAACCAGTAAATTTCATGGAATTAGGACACCAAAGAAAGTAGAAAACATAAAAATAATAACTCACGTTCACCAATCAGCAAAATGCGTACATCACCACTAACATCAGAAGTCATACTTCTGTAAACCAAACCTTCCGTACGGGCCATTACTCTGATGATTACAATATGTTAAATCAAATGCTGGCAATCATTCTTTATCATGGAATAAAAAGCGATTAACTGACCTGAAATTCAACAATGGACAAGCATTAAATACAAGCAAAACAACACATTTTATTAATATAAATACCAAAAGCCCAAAAAGCAATTACGAGGCTACACTATAATGAAATTGTATATCTGAAGATTAGCCAATATGTATGTTCAAACAATATAGTATAGTCACTCACGATTTATAAGACCGGAGTCCGCCAAAACGAAATAGCAAAATGAAAGTACCAAGCCAGACTGTTAACGGAAATTAAAACGAAAAAACGGTGATGTAGCCGCAAAATACCTTACGGGCTACTAACAGATAAAAATTCAGTGAAGACAACAGATAAGCAGCAGAATACTTCAGTTTGAATGTAAGTGATGACCGGACATTGATGGATGTAGAGATTTTATACGATATTGACTGATTAAGAAATTTTCTTTGGTGACTTCCTTTACTGCTTGTGTCAGTGCAGAATATGCTTGTTCCTTTTGCATGTGATTGGTGATTGAAAGGTGAGGAGGCATTCCCTCTTGATAGAATTAGTCTGCGCGAATTTTCCCTTGGACACTCCGGAACCAGCATGCCAGGCCCGATATGAAGTATGAGGCAGAGATGTTTACTAGTTTTAGCATTTATTTCAGGAAACAGAAAACTGATTGGTGATGAAGTTGTCTCTACTGCTTTCCATATCTTGTCGCACTTGTAAAGTAGCAAATTAATTTAATAGCTGTAAGTTAAAATTTATATAAAAGGATGCTCTTCGTGCAGTACTTATTTCTATTAGCCTGACGAGAATTCACAAAAAGAACGCAATAGAACCATTTTCTTTGCCTATTTTTCCCTTTGAATTCATTATTTTCATTCGCGGAGACAAGATGAATGGCGTTCATATTACGGACATTAGCTGACTCACTTGATACTACTGATAGCAGTGTGAAGACTCGTCATTACGGTTCATGCAGATGAATTGAATGAAACAGTTATACAATATAAATTGATGACAGAGATAAAAAACGAAAGTGAAGTAATTAAGCAGCAATAATGTGGCATGCTATTAATTGACATGTGAGATAGTCGCAGTATGGTAAAGTAAATATTCATGAAAATTCAGTAACGTAAGGGGAAGAAGGAGCAAATTTATCTAATAGCACTTACCAACCTAAGCATGTCATATATATTAACCGAAATGTCTAGTGATTGAGAGGTTGAAGTTTTTTCGAGTACTTCTTGCCTACAAAATATTTGCATATATCAAAAACTGGTTAATCTAATGTTTGAATAAAAATAGTAATCATCTTTTGGAAGATTTTTTTCTCCATATTGCTTCCATATAATTTTTGTGTGTTGTTCTCTTGAGTAAATAAATTAATTAAGAGTTTTCAGCTATTTCAGTCTTACGAAAAATCAAAAGTCAAGGCTATAAAAGGAAGTATGCAACTATGTGAAGATTATGATGAAGGATACATTTTCCAATGTCATTTATATTAAATTCTTAGCATTCTTAATTGTTTGTGAGAAACAGGACTGATTTGTTCCAAAAAATCGACTTCTAATGTGGCACATACGTTCTTCGGGATGCTGTCATATGCTGTCGCATCAAAAACATATTGCTATCAAGGTAAAAAATGGTAAAAAACTGTCGTCAGTTAATAATGCATATTTTAAGTGCAAATATCTGGTTGTCAGCATCATTAGCAGGGTATGATGTGAAATAGATCATGTGCTTGCACACTCACGTGTGTTTAGCAAGCGATAAATTCAAAAAAAAAAGCTCTTTAGATCAGAACTTTAAATTACTGAAAAGTAAGAACAAGTTTTCTATAGAATTTAAACCCTGAATTTTTCATGAAAAGCAATTTGCAGCTGGCATAGTTTGCTCCTGAAAAGAATAATTTTCTAATCAGAAGACTTTACACCATGTTATTCAGATGACAAGATATTCATGCATGTTGTTTTTATGTACAGTGTTATTATGCATTAATGAGCGCATGCAATTACGTCACAGAGTAGGCCAAAGTTATATGAATAATGAAAAAGCTATCTATTTGGTAAGAAGCACAAGATATCATGGCGAGCCCTCGTGTAAAGAAATAAGCTGAATAGCTTAGTGAAAAGATTTGAAATGAAAATAATGCTATGATTGAAAAAAAGGGCTCTATCATTTAAATTATTTAGAACTCAATAACTAAACAATAAATTTTTGCTAAAATGTTAATTGTCATTTTAGCCTTTGAATGATTGAAGGCCTAAAAATAAGGATAATGGAGAAAGTTTGGGAAATCGGTTTTTTGTCAAATGGATGAATTTCTTAATATTCTTTTAACTTTGGATGTAGCCAAGTCTCAGTTAACACTTTTTGTATTTTAATGTAAGCGAGATGCTTTTAAATAATGCTTTTCCTATGATTTCAGCGTCTCCATATTATTATTTAAATACTTTTGGTTTGCGTCATTTAAAGCATACTGAATTTTTTAAATAGTGATCTTGTTAGTATTTCCGTTGCAACTGATTCATGTTCATTTCTGACCGTATCATTTGTTAAATGTCACATTATCTGAGATGCTTAAAAATGCTTACCTAAGGAATCAAAAAATTTGGGAAAGATTAAATTGTGAAGTTCCGAAAAAAGAGAATTATTAAATACTCACTTTGAGAAGGATATTTCAAAATTGGATAAATAGATTTATTTAGTTGAAACTGAATTTGGTATGAAATCGTATTACAACTGTTATAAGCCATTTTTACTTTTAAACTCATTTTTGTTGTAAAACTTTTACAATAATTTTATTATTAAATAATGAAATATTTATATAAAAAGAGCAACTCACAACAAAGTAAAGAAACGTTTAAATAAAAAGTAAATAAATGGGTGAAATTATTCCATTTGGTTGCTATTTTGTCACTTTTTGCAAAAAAAAAGATGTAAATTTTGCTTTTCATTCGATTATGTACACTTTTTGAGTTACAAAAACATTGCCACTTACGTGGATGAGCAATTCTTGCTTTGCAGATGCAGAATCAGTTTACAATTTTATTAAAGCGTAATGCATAAAAATGCTGATGTAACTCATTACAGTACGGATGAAAAAAATGGAAGTTAAAAAAGATGCAATGAAATGAACAAATTTATTTCATTACCCTTTCTTTTCTGTTATGGCAGAGCGAGTTACACACTTAAATGTGTATTTCAGTTGCTTGATTTTTACAGTTAATTTATTCACTTTGCAACAACTGAAACTGTTCGTTATTGGCCGAAAGTTGTTGAGAAATTTATTTATTTTGTTCATAATTCATTGAGTAACTAATAGCTTTTGTAATAACAAACGATTCTACGAGACTGTGCTCTACTCATGTCGTCATCATGTAATCAAATCTTCTCCACAAACACTTCAAAACTTTGATTTCTATTCTATCAGTCCTAACAAATTCTCCTTTCCTGTTATCACGATGATAACAGTACAATTGTTTGTTTGACAATCACATCAAACAACATCAAATGTTATTTGATCCTGTAGATGAAATGCAAAAAAATTTGCCATGCATTTTAGTTTATTTGTTGCAAAATTTTACATAAAAATTGTTATAATTATTTAAATATTCTTAGCGAATAATGCAACAAAAATGAAACTTAACTGTTTTATTTTAGTCGAGAAAGTTACGTAGTATTTGAGCTGCATTTCGACCACAAACAATGATCGATTTCTGACTCAGAAGAAATTGGTTTTAGTCCAGATATTTTACATCGTATCGTTTCTGCTTCTATTGTCCAGGAATGTTCCAAAAAATATAATAAATATTTGCAGCAAAAATGTAGCTTGCAAGTGTAAGCAAGTGTCTGTTACTGCTGCCCCAAACTGTTGCATACATTTCAGTTGACGTTTCTCAAATTAACAGCAGATCAGTAATCGTAACAACTTGCAGTAAATAAGTATAGTAACGGAAACAGCAGCTTAACAGAAATTTTAATTACTGATCATGTAATCGCAATTAACCCAAATATATCTATCTCCTCAATTGTTCTAATTCATTTTCCAGTCGTTAATGATGACAGAAATGATGAAAAAATGATTTTTGTTCCGCAATTAAAGTGAGCAAGATAATTTAATAGTACATTTGTTTTACGTATTATGCCGAACACTGTTTTTTCATTATAGACGTTGACATGCAATGATAACTATGATAGCGTAAACAATAACAGCTATTAAAGGGTTACATGCAGTGATTTTTAACAGCGCTATTGACACGTGGTTATAACAATTGTTTTCTTTTTAATGCTGTTATTTAACGTGTATTTTATCTTTGCCTTTCACTTTCTCTTTTTACTCATTTTTTCAGAAAAACTACTTCTAGTTCTTTTCTATTTCTATGAAAAATAATACTTACATATATACTTACTATTTTCTTAATTTAAAGATTAGTCAGAGGTTGTGAAAAGTGTTTAAATAATTAATATCGAATTTGCGGAATTTTTGAATAATTCTAATTAATAGTTCACACTTAGTTTTTACGAGATGCTTTCAGAAATGTTTCGGATTATTTACGATAGAAAAAGAAATAGGTCAAGAATACGATAAAATCTTTTCAAGAAATAGCAGGAAATCTTAATTATTCGTGATGTTCTATTTTTCTTATTTTAAAACGATGACGGAACTATAAGTAATATTTGATATTGATGTGTTTTAATTCTTGCAAAAATATCTATTATAACTGAGAACTCTTAAAAGTTTATCCTTGAAATGGGATGAAACCTAAACTTCGGAAAGCTTATAATATTTTATCACTCAAAATATTATAAATTAGTAATCTTTGATCATTGGTTGTGACAATAACAAAAGCTGCTCAACTTGTGTAAATTAAGGTGATATATTCGTATCTGCTTGAAATTAGATAAATGCGTGAGTGTTTCCGCATTTCTTCCGCTTTTTATCAGCCAATAAATTAAAAAGGAATA